TGAATAGCTGGGGTCCCATCTCTGATCCCTGTGACACCCCATGACTTACTGCCTGGCAATTTGAAAAGGACCCATTAATTCCTATTCTTTGTTTCCTCACTGCCAACCAGTTTTCTATCCATCTCAATACACTTCCCCCAATCCTATGTGCTTTACTCTTGCACAATAATCTCTTATGCGCGACTTTGTCAAACGCTTTCTGAAAGTCTAAATATACTACATCGATTGGCTCCCCTTTGTCAACTGTACTAGTTACATCTTCATTGAATTCAAAAAGATTTGTCAAGGATAATTTCCCCTTCATAAATCCATGCTGACTCTGTCTGATGCTGCTATTGCTTTCTAAATGCTCCGCTATAAAGTCCTTGATAATGGATTCGAGAATACTCCCCAGTACTGATGTTAATTTTACTGGTCTGTATTTTCCTGTTTTCTCTCTACCTCCCTTTTACTGTGTCAGACAATGAAGAATCATTGCAGTTCATCCTTGCATTCTTTATATGTTTGCCATTGCCTATCCATGTCATCCCTTTAAGTAATGTTCTCCAATTTATCACAGCCAGTTTGTATCTCATATTATCGTAGTTTCCTTCATTTAAATTCAGAAACCTAGTCTCAGAATCAATGAGGTTCTTAATTAATCCTGTGTCATTGCACATTGTCGGGTTTCAAATAGCCTGCTCTTTTGCTAACTTTAGAACACGCAGCTCTAAGAAATTGCCTAGAATAGACTCAATTAAATCAATTTGAATTAAATCAATTACCTATGCCCATCTGAATTGTCAAATCTGCATACAGATTAAAGACATAATTATTTCAGAGTCTTTCTTAGACGTCCTGTTCATCTTTTCCTGTTAACTCTGATCTAATTAATAACTACTGTTAAGGAGTCTATAGTGTACTCCCACAAGTCACCTTCGTCTTTCCTTTTCTTTTATCTCCACCCTATCTGATTCTACATGTTAGTTTTTTGAGCCAAGCTTGTCTCTCATCATTGTACTAATGAATTCATTAACTAGTAGATCTGTACCACCTCCTTTTCTTAGCTTCCTGTCTTTTCAAAATATCAAATTCCTTTCAATATTCAGGTCCTCACCATGGCCACCATGCAAGCATGTCTTTATAATGGCTATCAGGTTATACCTTTTCACTTCTCTCTGAACTAACAATTTATTTGTTTTGTTATGGATGCTGCATGCATTTGACACACAGCATTAACTCTGTCTTTTCACCACTTGTAAAATTGCTGGATTTTTTTCCGCTCTTAAACTCTTAAGTTTGTATGCTCTGTTCCATCCTAAGCTCTGATTATCATTACCCAAATTGAAACCCTGCTTTATTCTCTCATTGTTTTCTTTTGATTTATAACATCTGTTATTACATGACCCCTTTCCTCCACTATTTAGTTTAAAGCCTATCTACCCTTATAGTTATGTGACTTTCTGCAGCGCTAATTCCAGTGCAGTTCAGGTGATGACCATGCCAATGGTACATGTCCCACGTTAACATGTCCTGGTGCCAATGTCCCAAGAGAAATGAAAGCCATCCTTCCACACCAGGGTATGAGCCTCTGATACCAGTCTTAGTCAATTTATGTCAATTTGTTAATGACTCGAGTTAAAATACAGAGATTATAACCTTTGTTCTCCTTTTTCATTTAGCATCTAGCTACTCTTATTCTCTTTCATAGATCTATCTATGTCATTGGTACTTAATTGGATCCTGACAACTGAATTCTCCCACTGCAAGGTAGTCTCCAGATCAGAGCAGATGTTTGCAACCCTGGCACTGGGCAGATGACATAGCATCTGGACCCTGTCCTCCTGGTGCCTTCAATGGAATAGATGCTCCATCTGGTTACCTCAGGCAGTTTTGGGAAACCAGTAATCCTATGGTACGCACAGGATCACACCCATAACTACACAGGCAATATGTCAAATTAAATGAATGCAAGGACCTGTGATATTTTACCTCAGTTACCTGGTGAATGCATAGTGTGTAACCCTCTGTGAAATGGTGTACAAGACTCCAGTGCCTGACTGAAATGGCCCATATACAAAAAGATTCAGTGTAGAGCTTGCTTTATTAACACTGAAAAGACATTGCAGCTTTTGGAGCTTGACTTCAAGTTGTCCTGCAAGTGACCTTCAGAGGACTGCATCTCTGCTGAAGCATAGTAACTCAGAGGAAAACTCCTTTTACACAATTTCAATGGACATCCTCTCTATACACTTTTTGGGTGGCTAGTTGATCTTTCTGCTCAGCAGGCGAAAACTGTGCTTGACTCCTCTACGAGAATAAGAAAAGAATACAAGAATTAGCTTTATTGTCACATACAAGTCACCACTTACGACACCATCTTAGGTACCAAGGCACCTAGGTACAGATTCTTAAGTACAAATTCATACTGAAAATTTTGAAAAATAAAGTAATAAAAAATCCAGAAATAAATTGGAAAAATAGAGAAATAACAATTCAGAATAACAGGCCGTCCAACCCAGACCACGCCAGGTTTCACCCAAAGGCTGGGAGGGCCAAAAGTCTGAGTCCACGCTGAGGCCGGGTGCTCGAGTTCACGCTGAGGCCGGGTGTTCGAGTCCATTTTGAGGCCGGGTACTTGAGTCCACGCTTTGGCCGGGTGTTCGAGTCCACACTGAGGCCAGAGGTTTGGCTCGGCACTGAGGCCAGGAGTCCAAATCAATGCTTAGGCCAGAGGTTTGGGTCCACAATGAGGCTGGAGGTTCGGGTCCACAATGAGGCTGAGAGTTTGGGTCCATGCTGAGGCTGGGAGTTTGAGCCCATGCTGAGGCCGAGAGTTTGGGTCCACGCTGAGACCGGAGGTTTGAGTCCACACTGAAGCTGGGAGTTCGGGTCCATGCTGATGACGGGACTCTGAGACCCCAGGAGTTTGAGTCTATGCTAATGCCGGAAGTCCATGATGTCCATGAGATTTACCAGGACGCTGCCTGGACTGGAGGGCAGGTCTTATGAGGAAAGGTTGAGGGAGCTAGGGATGTTTTCATTGGAGCATAGAAGGATGAAGGTGACTTGATAGAAGTGTTTAAGATGATGAGAGGCATAGATGGAGTGGATAGTCAGAGACTTTTTTCCCAGGGTGGAAATGACTATTACAAGGGGGCATAATTTTAAGGTAATTGGAGGAAGGTATAGGGGAGATGTCAGAGGTAGGTTCTTTACACAGAGAGTGGTGGGCATGTGGAATGTGCTGCCAGCAGTGGTAGTGGAGTCAGATACTTTAGAGACTTTTAAGCGACTCTTGGATAGGCACATGGAGGATAGTAAAATGCAGGGTATGCAGGGTAGTTTGATCTTAGTAGGATTCTAGGTAGGCACAACATCGTGGGCTGAAGGGCCTGTACTGTACCGTTCTATGTTCCATGTTCACTCAGCCATTGCTGACACTTGTTAAAACCTACTTTTTTGATCAAAATTGCCATCAGCAGTCCAAGCATTTCCTCATTTGGTTTGTTGTCAAATTTTGTCCAAAGACCATTTTGTTAGCTGACTTGGACTATTGTACTACATCAAACGTGCTAATTAAATGTAAATGGTTGTTGAAGCAGCACGGAATATATTTGGATGTGACTACAATGGTTAACTATACGCTAGACCTGACTTGTCCGTCAGGCTTGAATTACTTGCTATGGAGCAATGTTGTAAAATCCACAGCAACGTTAAAGAAGCTTTTAGCAATGACAACAGTTGTTTGGCAGCTTCTGTTTGGACTCAGATGAATGAAAATAATTGCAAATGTATTGGATCTTTTGTTATTATGTTTCTTTTTGCTAAGAAAATTGCCCTTACAGAAATTGTACATTTACAATCTGACACAAAGGTAAAATACTGTGGATACTGGAAATATGAAATAAAAATACCAGGTGCCAGAGAAATTCAGCAGGTCCAGAGGCATTCCTGGAGAAAACAACACAGTGAACAATGTGTGGAACTGGAGGAACACAGAGGGCCAGGCAGCATCAGAGGAGCAGGAAAGTTGACGTTTCGGGTCGAGACCCTTCTTCAGAAATTCAGACCCGAAACGACAACTTTCCTGCTCCTCTGATGCTACCTGGCCTGCTGTGTTCCTCTAGCTCCACACTGTATTGACTCTGACTCCAGCAGCTGCAGTTCTTACTATATCACAGTGAACAATATGACTTATTTTTGGAAGAGAGAGGTGCAAATTATAAGTTTTACTCTGCAGAAAAAGGTGGGAAGGGGCAAGTGGTACAGGGGAGAGGTCAGGGGAAGGTTAGAGATTACAAACGTCACAGAACAAAAAGAAAAACAAGTCATACTGGTTGCAGAGAAGGGATACAGGTACAGAGTTGGTGTTAATAGCAGAATATAGGCCAGCTCTATTGAAAGCAAAACCAGAAAAGCCAGACTCTGGGGATGTGAGAAGGAATGATTGGGAAAGACAGAGGAAACAAATGAAAGATAGTTCATGGTCTGAAGATACTGAATACAATGATGACTCCAGATGGTTGTAAAGTGCCCAAATGGAAAATGAGGTGCTGTTCTCCAGGTCATGTTGGGTTTCACTGGAATACTGCAGCAGACCTTGGTCAGAAATGTGAGATTGAGAGCAGGATAGTGTATTGAAATGACAAGGGCCTGGAAGAGTCAATCATGCTTGCAGACTGAGTGAAGGTATTCTGTAAAGCAATTAGTCATATTGCATTTGGTGTTCCCTGTATAGAAGAAACCATATTGAGAGCAGTGAATACAGGAGACTAGATTGAAAGAATTGCAAGTAAAACACTGCTGAACTAGAAAGTGTGTTCTGGGCATTGGACTGTGAGAAGGGAGGAAGCAAAGGCAAACGTTACACCTCATCTGATTACTAGAGAAGGTGCCATGCAGGTGGGGGAATGAGAGTTTGGAAGTGTCGGAGGAATGGACCAGATTGTTACAGAAGGAACAGTTCCTTTGGAATGCTAACTGGGAGGGGAGCGGGAGATGTATTTGGCAATGGCATCATGCTGGAGATGGTGAAAATGGTGGAGTGTGGTCGTTTGAATGTAAAACCTGGTGGCGTGAAAAGTGAAGACAATGGGAAATCTGTCGAGGTTTTGGGAGGGAAGGGAAGGGGTGAAGGTGGTAGTGTAGGTAATGGGCTGCACCTCTCTCTTCCAAAAATAAGTCATAGAGCCGTACAGCATGGAAACAGACCTTTCAGTCCAACTAGTCCACGCCGACCGTGTTCCCAAACTAAACTAGTCCCACCTACCTGCATTTGGCCTAAATCCCTCCAAACCTTTCCAAGGTGGTGGGGGTGGGGTGGTGGTATGGTAGTCCTTGGTTTGGAAGGAAAAGGAAAACATGTCAAAAGCATTCCTGTGAAAGATAACATCATCAGAACAGACGGGACAGATAAGGAAAAGCTGGGAGAATGAAATCCAGTCCTCACAGGATGTGAGGAAGTGTAGTTAAGATAGCTGTGAGAGTGAGGGAATTTGCAGTGGATATTTGTTGTCATCCCATCCCAAGAAATGGAAACAGAGAAGCCAATGAAGAGAAGGCAAGAGTCAGAGATGAACCAGTGAGAGAAGGGTGGAAATAAAAGCAGAAATGGCTGGAGACATTGCTGCTCAGCAAGTCTGGCTGCATCTGTGGAGAGAAAGCAGAGTTAACATTTTGCGACCAGTGACCCTTCTTCAGAACTGATGGTAGCGCGGAAAAGGTTGGTATGTATGCAGAAGACAGGGTTGGGGGAGAGATTAAGGAGTAAACAATAGATGAAAATAGAGCCCAAAGAGAGAGAAAAATAGTGGACAGGCAAAAGAGTGGGTAAAGGTCAGTCTGGGGGATTGAATAGCTGCTAACGGGGACTATTAGTAGCTAGCAGCCCATGTGATAAAAAGGCCTGGTGTGTGGGAGTTGGGGAAAGACATGGAGGACAAGCCCTAAAATTGTTGAATTTGATAATGAGACCAGAAGGCTGCAGAGTCGCCAAGCGGAAAATGAGGTGCTGAGCTTTGGTAGAGCACTGCAGCAAACCTGAGATGGAGATGTTGGTCAGGGAACAGAGTGGTGTGTTAAAGTGGCAGGCAACTGGAACCTCAGGGTAATTTTTGCAGGCAGAATGTAGATGTTCTGTGAAGCAGCCACCCAGTCTACAATTTGTTTCCCCAATGTAGAGGAGGCCACATTTTGAGCAGTAAATACAGGAGATTAGATTGAATGAAGTGCAGGTAGAGTGCTACTTCACCTGGAAGGTGTGTCTGGGTCTTTGGATAGTCAAGAGCGAGGAAGTAAATGGGCAGGTGCTACACCTTCTGCGATTGCATGGGACGGTGCTGTGGAATGTTGGGACATGTTCGGAGTGGAGAAGGAATAAACCAAGGTGTCCCAGAGGAAATGGTTCCTGTTGAATGCTGACAAAGGAAGGGTGGGGAATATGTGTCTGGTGGTGGTATCTCGCTGGAAGTGGCAGCTAATGATCCTTTGGATGTGGATGCAGGTGGGATGGTAGGTGAGGACAAGGGGGACCCT